TTCACACAGGCAGCCACTGACTAAAAGACCGCCCCACCGTCAGATGCCTAACACACAAGTGGGAAGTCAGAGACACTCTAGTTTAGTAAATGATAGGTGCCCTGGCCTGCTGCATTCTGTGGCATGTTCTGCAGACCTCAAGACTCTGCAAGACACTCTCATGAACTGGCAGCCCTCTGACTTACCTCCCTGCACAAAGAGCCTACAGGACCTGGGTAAGTCAGGTTCGATGTAGATGTCCAGGAACTAAGCAGATGAAGCTAAGCTGATTTTTCATAGTATTTGAAATCAAACTCAATTGACAAGATGTGTTGTTCTTGCTCTAAACGATCTGCCATGTTGTGTCTTGCTTTGGTTTGAGTTTTTCATCCTTAGGTTCACAGGTTAGAAGCTTGATTCCCAGAATGGCAATGCTGAGATCTAGTAGATAATCACAAGACTGGCCTCTTCCAGTGCTGTGGGTTGGAGTTTTGCCGTGGCAACTTTTCTGCTTGCCTTTTCTTTCACCTTTGTGATGCTATGCATCATGAAGTGACACAGCCAGGAGGCCCTGGCCAGAGCTGGTGCCATGCTCATTGGAATTTGTTACTGCGAATGAAGGATTCAAAGACTTTTCAGGCTGCATGTGCTCTGGCAACGTTTCTTAAGTGTAAATGAAGTCTCATTTTTTTAATTACTGGAAAAATACCAGTGAAAATGAAGTTCTGCTGATTGCATGGCTTTCAAATCCACTAACAGGACACAGTGGGCTAATTGGGTCTGCAGAACACAGACCAGCAATGGTGCTGGAGCTGGCTCCCAGGAGAACCCAACACATAGCATCTATTAAATCATTTTCTATTCACTTTGTCCAACCCCAACTGGAAATTTCACAGATGAGTACAAGTTCCCCAGCCAACCTCAGAAGCACCAGAAAAGGTCCCCATGTTTGCAAGCCCAAGGCAAATTAGAGGGGCACATGCAGGACTTTGTGCTTTGTATGTAAGCGGACAGTAGAAGGATGAGAACTGTGGAGATGAGGCCTGCTCCACAGGCCACTGATTTCACCGCGCTGCATCTCACTAGAAGTACTTTTGATATGTCACACGCAGACAGAAATGTGGCTCCCAGAAGAGTCTGGGAATTCATACACATCCAGATTCCTTGACCAGGAACGAGAGTGTCCTGAGACTTAATTTCAACCCCTTTCCTCATCCTCTTCTCCAACCCTCCTGAGCCATGAACGCTGCAGTGCTAGGGAGACCTGAGCCTGTTCTTGCCCCCTGCGCTCTCGTTTCTCCTCTTCTTTGTGAGGCCTTACTCATTCTATATTTTAAAGAGTAAGATTTGGGGGAAATTTTGCTAGTGGTGTGGTCATTCCTCACAGGGAAAATACCCAAGTTTTCTCCGTGTCCTCCGAAGCTGCAGGATCATGTTTCTGACTGCTTTTCTATCCCTGTCTTCCAAAATTTTTCTTCTGAATGACTGTTCCCCAGCCTTCTTTTTGAATTATGCATGGGTCTTGGGAAGGCAGAGTCTGTGTATAAGGGCTGGTCCTAGGAGAGGTGAAAAAAGTGAGAGAATGTAGGAAGCCTTAGGGGAGTTAAGGCCACAGATGTTAGAGTAGGCCTAGTTCTTGTAGATTGCCTATTATGCCAGATTTAGATAAAAGAAAGGGAAAGGAAGGTGGTGAAAGACTAGAAGATATATTAAAGTGACACATGCATTCACGTGAGACATGCCAAGCACATGAATTCCTCATGGAACCTTGAGAGGCAGGCTCTGCTCTTATTGGATAACTTGGAGATTAGAAATTCAGAACCACAGAGATGATGCTGGCTTCTTCATAACACTATGTTCCAAATCATATCATGGGAACAAAATAGCATGAACTCAGTACGAAACTAGACACACAGACAAAAGGGAACAGGATACAGGACCTAGAGATAAATCCAGCCACCCATAACCATCTCATTCTCAGCAAAGGCCCAGCCTGCTCAACAAACAGTGCTGGGAGAGTAAATGACTTCATGGAGTAAATTCAACCGAGATTCTCCATTATTGATCATTCTGCATTAAAAAGTCAATCAAAATGAAACAAAGGCTCAAAACTCTGAACTGCTAGAAGAAAATGTACAGAAATATTCAAGATAATAGCACAGACAATGATTTTCTGAAGAGGACTCCAGTAGCCCAGCAAACAGAAGCCAGAACTGACAAATGAGATTACATCAAATTAAAAAGCCTCTGCAAAGCAAGGGGGAGGGTGGGGAAGAAACAACCTACATAGAAGAAAATATTTGCTAGCTAACCATCTGACAGGGGATCAATGTCCAGAATATATAAAGAACTCAAAAGAACAAATAATTCCATCCAAAAATTTGTCAAATGATCTGAAAAGATACTGCTCAAAAGAAATACTACAAATGTCTGGTAAATGTATGAAAATTGTCCAATAACTTTAGCTGTCAGAGTAAAGCAAATTAATTTTTATAATCTAGCTGTATTACTCTGGGATATATATCTACAGAAACTGAAATCAGTACACAAACTTGCAAACCTATGTTTATTTTAGCACTATTTACAGTAATTAAGATGCAGAATTAATCTAGGTGCCCAGGAAAAGATAAACTATATAAGGAACACACACATTGGAGTATTTATTTAGGGCAATGAGGAATGAAATCATGCTATTTGAAGGAAAACAGATAGAACTGGAGAACATAGTAAGAAAAATAAGGCAGACACAGACAACTATCATATCTCCTCTCATAGGTGGAAATTAGAAAAAAAAATGAAATCAAATAGCTCAGAAAGAAGAGTCCTGTGGGACACAGAGGAATTAAGATCCTGTGTAACTCTAGCTAGCAAGGGGTGAGGCTGGGATGTAACTCAAACTCAAGCTTTTCTGACTCCAAGGATGCTCTCTTTCTGTTGCTTCTTGGAGAATTAAAGAAGTATATGGCCCGTTAGTAAGAGGAGGACAGGCTTTGTGGTTTGCAATGATAAGGCTACAGAAAGTAGAGAGTTTGTAGCATCTGTGTCAATATGTATCAGCTTCTTGGTGGCTGCTGTACTTGCTTGAGCCCCACACTGGTGCTAAAGCAGAGAAGAGATTGGTAAGGAATACCGAGACAGGAGGACCAATTAACGAAGAATTAGAGCATGCTTGTCACTGCGGGACACCAGCCTATTCCAAACCATCCAGGGATCATCTTAATTATTTGCAGACGCAGTTTTGATTTGGTGGGTCTGTTTTCCCACCCCAGGTGTCAAGCATATACTTGGGGAGCAGTGGCTGTAACTGACTTGCCTAAGCAGGATCTGGCTGCAGGTTTGGAGTGACAACAATCCAGATGGGATCTCTGAGGGCAACCAGTAAGGAATCATAGTAAAGTCTGTAGAAGGATATATTGCCGAGCGAGCGTCTCTTCTTATAGGTATTCTCCAGAGTGTGTTCAATAATATCCAAGTTGGTATCTGGCTGGGACACTGAGCCACACCAAGACCCCCACTTCAGCACAGCTGTGTCCAGCTGTTCAACATCTAAGTTAGTGCCTTCCAGGGATCCCTGCCATGAGGCACAGTAGCCTGCCCCTGGTAGCCTATGGGAGCCTATCCTACTGAAAAGACTCTCATCCTTAAATCCTGTAAAAATGGTAAGCAAGGTTTGCCATTCTTAGGTGAAACATGTCACACATGGCATGGCTAGCCATGGCTCAGGAGCAACCATCTTCCTCCCTCCCTCACCTGTATCTGCTCCCTGGCTTTTGCTTCCCAGGTCTCACAGTGTATACTGCATGCTCCCCTTTCTATATTTTGTCTCATGAAGCTGTCTGGAATTACTCTTTATTCAGCCTGCAGGGACTTGTGTATCCCTTAAATCACTCCTGGGTCAACTGCTTCACAGAGAGCAGATTATTATGTGGTTGGCCTCTGGATTTCACATGTGGCTCAAAATATATCCTTAAAAACTGTGTTCACTTCATATTTGCAGATACTTAAGATTATTAAACAATGTGGTAAGACAACTATTTGCCCAGTATTTATGTTGTATGGTGAGCCATGGATAATCAAGAAGATTTAAAGTATATAAGAACAATGTCACTTTAAGTGGGCCTGAGCAAGTCATTGGTGTGTATGTGAGATGTAGGAATCAATTTCTTGTACATACTGAGGGACAGTTGCATTAAATGCACCTTTTCCCTCACCATCCCATGGCGAATGGCTAAAGTTACGTTGGAATCTTTCACAGAATCTATCAAAACAAGGTTGGGTCTTCCTCAGGGTGCTATCTGCCTGCTTGGGAGCATCCTCATCACCCCACTGGGTTTCAAAGAACACCCAGTACTTAAGGAAGAAGAAATAGACTCCAGCTGAGCTGAGACAAAAGACTGTGTACATTGAAAACTCCTTTGTGTGTTTCCAAAACGGAAACAGAGTTGGTCGAGGCAAGGGTAAGGAACAGTGGAAAAAACAGACCACGCCAGGGGGTGATGATCAAAGGCCTTTGTCCTAAGAGGTGGGGGACAGGGCTTAAGCAAGGCTCAGGACTGAGGAATGAGCACACCCTGAGGGTGACTTCTAAGACGTCATGACCTTTGGACAATGTGCTTCTCGTGCCCTGAGCATATAGAGGCCAGGGGCTTGGACACTTGAGTAATAATGAGATCCCTGCTTTCCAGGTAGCCTTGAGACAACTGACAATTTCAATCAGAGACTCTGTATTCAACCCTTCCTATATGCAGCCACAGCGTGGAGCCAGTTAAGATTCCAGAATAATAAATAGCCTCGGTAACTCAGCGGCAACCACGACCTTGTCTAGGTTGATGTAAGGTGAAAATCCATTCTCCAGCCAGGTGCTCCATTATTACTTAGGGCTACTGTCTCAATTAATGCTTCCTCTTATAAGCATTTTTTTTTTTCTGGCTAGCTTTCATGTTACTTGTTCTTCTTTTTTCTCTATCAATATCTCCCATGGTCAGTGCAAAGAGTTGAAAGAGAGCTCCGCTTAGGGTTACCTTGCCAACAGGCGCCGACAGTAAGCTGCATGGCGATATGAGATGGGTGGATGGGCCAGTCATTGGTCACCAGGTACGGTTCATAGGTTGCTCCATCCATGTACAGGGTGACCACAGGAAACTCCACATTGATGACATAGTAATGCCACTCTTTGTCACAGATCTAACGGGGGGAAAAAGAACACACACAGAGAAGCAACACTTAAAATTCAATCTACAATGCGTCGCCAAACAGCCCTTTAAAATCTTATTCGGAAGAGGGAGAGGAGGAAGTTTTGGAGGTCAACAATTATTACCCCCAGAGACTCAAAGAACGGAGTTTTGACATAAATCACACACTGAGGTTATCAAACACAATGGGAAGAAGAATACAAGAGGGTCCAGTCATTTGCTGAATACTGTTATCCTCCAGTACATGTTTGGCTCCAGGAACTAATCTGAGTTTCAAATCCTCAGATGCTCAAGTTCCTTCTATAAAATGACACCGCATTTGCATGCAACATATGCATATCCTCCTGTGTACTTTAAATCAAGTCCATTTTACTTATGATACCCAATCTAATATAAATTCTTTAAATAATTGCTCAGCTGTATTGCTTCATTGCTTCGGGACTATCCACAAGAAAAGGAAAAGCCTACTCATATTCAGTATGGCAGCGATTCCTCAGCTGGGTAGATTCATGGATGTAGGACCTTTAGGCACAGAGGGCAGACTGCATTCAACAATGGGCACAATGAACATCTTGTTCATGTAATTACCACCTGCCTTAGTTAGGCTCACACATTTTTGTTGGGCAGTTAGGAGTGTCAGCTTAAATTACTTTGAATAACATTTCCTGCACTTCTTTAGTATATTAAAAAAAAAAAGTACGATTGAAAACATTTTCCCAAATTTTGGATAGATGGAGCTGTATCAAGAATAGTGCTACAATGAAACTAAAGCTAACGAGTAAGATAAATGAGGAGAGAAGAAAGGATGATGAAAGGCAGACTCAGAAAGAGGGAAAGCAGGAAATGCAAGGAATCTGACCCCCTGAATCCCATTGATTCTGTCTTAAGCATCAGAGAAGCCCTGGCCCTTCCAATTCAAGGAAAATAAATCCCAAGGGAGACAGATTTTCTAGCAAGACTCTGCCTTCTTCCACCTTAGCACACCTGGGGAAACAGAGAAAGGCCACAAATGTAGCCTTCTGGCCTGTACTGGGAACTATAAACTCTTCACATTTGTCCTTTCACAACCTGCCATACCCAGGGATCCTGTTCTTTCTCAGGACTGAGAAATAGCATTAACAGATTGGTAGAAGCAAGGAAGGGTGGCTTGACTGGGTTGAGGAATAGGGAATCAGTAGAGTACAGCTCTGGCATGTCCATGAGGACCTTTCTAGGGATGATTGCCTCCATATGGCTCTAACCTAATGAATGAATTAATCCCTTAATGGATTCATAATGTGACCATATTAGTAGTGAAAGCTAGGGATTGGGGGAAGGAGTTACTACGAGGGTATAATTGGGACTGTATCTCACCCTGGACATCTACTATGCTCTTTCTGTGTTTCCTGACAACCAGAGATGGCTCTGATTTGCCATTCCCTCTCTGCTAAGATGGGCTGACATCTCTGAAACAATGAGCAAGAGTAGCTCTCTCTTCCTTTCAGGTATTTGGTTACAGTTATGCCAAAGTAACTGATTATGTGAGTAGTCACAGTTTTTGACCCAAGAGACAAAACTCACACTGTACAATCGCTAACAAAAACGTGGGAAGGGAGGCAGGAACCAGAAAAGGCAGCGGGACTAACGAATAGTGTTTCCTTCCTCCTGTGCAGGCCTGGGCTCTCTCCTTTGTTTGGTCTCCTCCCCTCTCCCCCTGCACCCCATGGGTTCCTCTGAAATGTCTCTCATCTCTATCATCCGCTCTTCTTCACCCCCACCACAGATGGCAGGGGAGGCTGATGAGTTCTACATGAAGGTGACCCCAAGGTGAGGGCATCAAAGCACCCCCCTCCATCCTGCACTGGATTAAATGTGCTGTTTCTCATGAATAGATAACACCAACAGGGATGCTAAATGATCTTTTTCCCTTTCATTTTGGAATAAGAAATTTTCCCTTAATGTTCTTTTTATATTGTCCCATCTCATGTCTCAGAAAATTACTCCTTTTGAAGCCTGTTAGTCTGATAAAGCCTGATGAATATTTTAGGGGCTTTAGTAGGCAAGCAGGAAGGGGCCAGGCAGTTCATTCCAATGTCTTGTTGAATTCAGTGAGAGCCCTTGACTCAGTTTACACTCCCTACCATACTGATGTTCTGGGTCACGCCAGCATATTTGGACGCTGAGATTTGGGGTTGAGCCTGTGACTGAAGGGGGTGCTCCTAGGTCATAGGAGTAGTGCACAGGGAGAGCAGAAGACAGAGTCTAGGCCTTTTGGAAGAGTTACGAACCAAGGGGAGTATCTGAATGAAGCACCCAACCCAAGGGATCTCAATGCACCCTGTCTCTGGAGTTGAAGTCAAGGATAGCCAGGCATCAGAAGAAAGCTAGAAAATGGTTTACATCCTGGGCATATTCCAAGAGGATTGCAGCCAAGTCCAGGGAGCTAGTGAAGTATTCCTGGATACGAGTCCTCCCCATGGAAATCAAGCTGTCAGGGATAGACTTGTAGGTAGCAGAGGAGGTCTCCCTGTCCTGGGTTCCACTGCTACACTCACTGCGCCATCCTTTTTGTGCACAGGGCAGGTTGAGCCCATGTGCTTCAGCCAATCATATCCTATCCTGTGATTGCTGATGAGGAAGGAGAATGGTCCTCTGGTCTTAATTCTCAACACTCAATTTTTGAGGAACGTCAGAACCGTTTTACAAGAGCAGCACGGCCCTTCCCGACATTGCAGTTTGTCCTGGATGCATTTCCCACAGTTCTGCTGAATGGTGCTTCGTTGACAGACGGCTTCCATGATGCCTCTCCCAATACAGTGAGCCTGTGTCCTGAGCTGAGCCTCCTAATGGGGGTAGAGTGGCTCTCCCACCCTCATTGGCATATCCAAGGCTCCCAGCAGCCTCAAATATGCTTTCAACCTAGGTGATGGGAACATTTCTATTTACAGTGTTCGTATAAATATCCCTAGAAACAACAACCATGAAAGCCCTGTTTGGATCACACTGTTTAACTATTTGAAAGTTTCCATGTATCAGTTAACGTTGGATTGAAATAATAACTTCACAAACCCCATTGTAAATGGCCATATGATGTGATATGGATATCCTATAATATACTTACCTATCCTCTCATTATCAGATTCATCTTATAACAGCAATTACAAATGATGCTATAATCATTTATTTTGGGCATAAATATTTGTCTCCACTTCTGATTATATCCTTCCTGGAAGGGGATTTAATGGCTTAAATATTATAGCTATTTTTAAGGTTCTTGATACATAGAGTGATTTTTTTTCCAGTAAAATATTGTAACTCTTTATTCTTTTACCCATGAAATCTAAGAAGGCTCCTGTATTATGTTATTGCCACATTAAGAAAAAAAAAAGAGCAAAATCCTAGAAATGTGTAAAGGAACACATCTTGTCTCATTTTTGTAATGAGTCACAGAAGATAACACAAATTATGTGTTTCCAAATCAAAACAGAGACTACTACCTGTGTGAAGAGAGGCCAAGGCTTAGAGGAACAAGCAGAACTGTGATCCTGAGCTCTTAATTGGGCACCCAAACAGTCTTTTAATTCATACTAAGCTTTTGGCTGCATACGTGTCCCAATGAGCTATGTCAGCAGCTGAAGGAAATGCCTAATTAGAGTTTCATAAATGTGAATCTATGATCAGGAAGAGACCCACATTGACCCTTAGCTAGAATGGCAGGGACAAACTATAATTGAAAAATGATCGAGTCAGAATGCAGCAGAAATAGAAGTACTGCCACATAGGTCAATCAAGACAAGGAAACTAGGCAAAGTGACCTTTCCTTAGGGGAGAGACAATCTTTAATTCTTAGCTTTCTGTGAATCACTGGCAAACCTAACTGGCTTGATACCTGTCCCATGATGCCCCCTGAATGGATGCCCAATGCATGACATAGACAAAGCCACTTTCTTCTCAGAACATCTGCAGATGTGATTCTATGTTAGGTGGCTATAGCTGCTCTTTACATGGTGAGTGAAAAAAGGCCAGAGATCCAGAGACTGGACGATTCTCTTCACAGCTGCTGACAGCCTGATTCAAATACCACATCAAGGACTAGGTTGGAAGTTCTGACTTAGTTTCTCCATTAAGCTATTTATTTTATTATTATTTTTTTTTTGCCGCTATTCAGTATGTGACATACTGATTTGCCAACTTCTGTGTCAATTACTATGTCTATTGAGATTTCAAGAGAGAGCAGAGCTTATGAAACAGATTCGTTGCCTTCAGGGGTTTCAATCTAATGGAGAGGGAGGGGGGAGTAAGGAAACCACATAAAAAAATATTCCAATATAATGGGAATTGAAATAAGTGCTGTAACTCAGGTGTGGAGCACTTCAAGGTTCCGGAGAATGGAGAAATGTTTCCAGCTGGGAGAAAGTAGAATTTAGGGTGAATTCTGCAGGCCTGTTAAGGTTTCATTGGGCATAGAAAGTAAGAATAAATTTCAGGCAAATGAAGCAGAAACCTCTTATTTCTGTAATCGGTCATTTTCCCCCCCACTGTTGGAGGTGCCAGTTTGGCAGCATACAGAGTCTAATTCTTTCAGTCAGTCATTTCTGTAGAGATTTGCAAAAAAAAAAAACATAGCCCAAATGGTGGAAAATAACCCCCCAAACCTAGCTGGTGCTTCCGGTCCAACTGAGGTATTGATAAAAGGCTTCTAACAACCTGGAATGCATAGTCATCCTAGGTTTGTGAAAGGTGCCAGGAAAGAAAGCCTGTAGTGTGTTTGTGTGTGTGTGTGTGTGTGTGTGTGTGTGTGTGTGTGTGTGTGTGATGTATTAGGGAGATGAGAGACAGCAGGCATAGATGCAGATTAGGGTAGGACAAAATGTGTTTGAGGGAGGTGAGGAGTGTGAGATGAGGCTGCAAACATCCTTTGGGGCTGGTGGATTGAGGACCTGAGTTGCCTTTATTCTGTAGGCAGCTGGAAGTCTGGCAGTCTCTGGGTGGGAAAGGAGTTAGCAATCATAG